ATGTGCGCTCGACGTTTTTTCCTGGCTTTTTTCTTCTTCTTTTTGATAATTTTTAGATTGCTGGTGACATAAAATTCCTCTAATTTATCTCTGCGAATTCGAACATTATTTTACAATTGTTTACGCACGCTTTATATTAAAAAGAGATAAACTTGCATATCTACCCGCCATCCGCTCTTGCAATAAAAATATAAGTTTTATATTGCAAACATGAGCATTATTCAAATTGTTATCGAGAGGAAAGACACTGACCCTGTTACGATTTATATGAAAATGATGTTGCAATGAAAAATCTTCATTGTAAAGAAATTTGCATTACAGAATCATTATTATATTGGTCTGTTCTGTTAATAAGTAATCGTGATTTTTGGCAATAAAAATATTTTCTAACGATCAAACTACACGCCTTAAAAGATCTACATATGTAAAATCACTTGAAAAAAGTATTTAAGCAGAAATAGAAATAAAGTTTCTTACTTATATTTAACGCTAAAGTCAACTCTTTGATCTCCTTTTAGCGTAGCATGGAGAAAAATTTTTATTTCAGTATCTGAAATTGGTTGGACAGGTAACAAGCAAAATTAGGTTCGTTTGCTAAATACTTAAAATAAAAGACATTCAATTGAATTTCTTAATATTTTTTAAACGAAAATTAGAAAATAATTTGTTTTATTGCACGAGGAGAAAGAAAAAGCTGAATATTACAAAACTACGAACAAAATAATTGAAAAGATTATACTTCATAATATAATTTCAATATTAAAGATAATTAGTATATAATATAATTTTAAAAGATTATCATGTAAATTATAGCCGGTGTTTTATTTCAGAAAATATTATAAGTAATAGAGGCGTAGTAAATGTTTTCGTGCTATAATTCCGTAATCGTCAAGTTTTTCTTAAAAAGAATATAAATATAATCATGCTGTTAATCGCATTGAAACATAAATTTATAAATATACAAATGATCAAAAATTCATAATTTAAAAATATTAAATTGGTCGTTTAATATTTTAAGTTTGTCTAATTTAAATGATGAAAGAAAATGAATATTAATCGAGGTTCACTTGTGTACTAGCAAAATTTATAAAAAAAAAAAAAAAAAAAAAAAAAAAAAAAAAGAGAGAGAGAGAGGGAGGGAGAGGGAGAGGGAGGAAGGCATATGTGGGTGTGTGGGTGTGTATATTGAATTTAAAAACAAACAACTCTGTTGCGATTACTCAATGTAATGTATAGTTTTCTTTATCCTGAAGTGCAGCTTCGCAACATCTGGCCACGGTTTCAATCAGTTTCTCTGTTTGCTGCACAGGCAATGGCCACCTATTCGGCTATACAACTGATTGAAAATAAATATATATCTCTCTCGAAGTTTAAATCTGACGATGATCCAGACGTATTCTATCGAAGGTCTTTTTTTTCGCTTGATCTACGAAGCGGAGAACCATAGGATTTTTTGTTATTGCTATTCCATTGGCACTCAAGATGACTTAAGATTTTTTTTTTTTTTTTTTTAACACTGGCTGTTAACTTTCAATTCAATATTTCTTCATTTTTAATATATTCTCTGCTTGTTGACTTTTCGTAATGTAAGATAAGAGCCCGAAACTAAAGAAGCGCACAGTACGTTCGTCCTAGCTGAATTTTTTACATTTGCTCGTACATTTCGATGATTTGAAAAGGCTTCGACACGGTAACATTGCCTTAGTTTTGCATTTTATTTTTATGTAATTACTACGTGTTTTTTCTGCAAGTAACTACGACTCTGGTCATTTATTTTCATGCGCAAAAAGATCTTTTTGTATAAAAAGATGATTTTGTACTTTACCTTTTTTATCGATGGACTTGTCGTTGTTCTTTATAATTTTCAAATACCAATAGCTATAAATAATGTTCTCTATCGTTTGGAAAATCTTAAAACTTTTATACGTAATTAATTCTTACCAAAAAATAATATCCTATAATGCATTATCATCGTCAAAAAATAAGAAGATAAATTGATAAAACCAAAACTAAATATGAATGAATTAAATAATTTCCATTGGCATTAAGCATTAAATGCTTATATTATATTCTAATGAAACTTTTCTTAAATATCTTTCTAAAATGTCTAATTATTATTGTTAAAAAACTCGAAGCGATTAATTAAAAACAAATGCTCAAATATATAATAGATTGCAATTGAAGTTGTAATTAATTAGGTTCTAAGAAAAGAGAAGACATTAGAACGCAAAACCGCTTTCGTTTTTCCATGAACAAGTTGATATCCCTGTTATTGCTTTTGTCTATAACACTTGTTAAATAAACTATTAATAAATAACACAGATAAAGCTTTGAATCCATTGGTATTATTTATAATTATATTTTTGATATCTGAATCCGTGAAGATAACCTACATTTCTACGCACAAAACACGCTTATGATCTAATTATTGATAAAAAGTTTATTGCATGCAGAAGACATGAAGTTAATTGAAAAAATGAATCATTTACTGATTGTTGATAATGTTATTTAATTATAAATCCTAATATCAATTGTATATAATGTAAGACGAGAATGTTCTTTTATCAACGATTAAAAAAAATTTTTTATTTTAAACAAATTTATTAACAATTTAATTTATTATTACAAAATTCATTTATATTCGATGAACGATTCAAGTTTCCAGCGTTCATTCATGTTCTATTTATTCAGCATTTACAATATGAAGAATAACGATGAGTGAAGAATGCAATGTTAAATTGAATTTTAATAAAACAACGGCTAATTGTAGATAAAATATATTTCATCCAAATTTTAAATATTATTTGAAAAACTGATTTTAAGCATTTCTTAAGAATTTTTTTTTTTTTTTTTCAACCAATACTTTTTATGTTGATGATTTTAATTCGAAGTAGATATAATTGGCCAAATTATTTTGTCAAAAAATATCCAATATGATTTTATTATAAATTTTATACGTTACATTCATAATTCATAATGTAATGCACACAAATGAATTTAGTTATATTTCATTAAATACTTTGCATACATTTACTTTTGATATAATTAATTTTGTTATCATAATAAGTATTAAGATGAACATAGATGCTTTACATTTGTAATATAGATCACCGATAAATACAGTACAAAATTGATCTATTTTCTAAATAAACTCTTATTAAATAAAAATATAATTTAATCAAGCAATTTTATTTTAATCAATCAGGGATTTTCGCGTTTCCGTATAATTTCGAAGCTAATTAAATGCAAAATACATTAAAAATGTTAACAACTAAAGACGAAAGGAGCTAATGATGCATTCAATTCTGACAGATAACGTCGGCTTATTAAAAATTACTTCATAAATTATTATATCAGTATTATATGTTTAAAAGTTTAAAGAAATTCTAAACATTTTTTTTTATATGATAAGGTAACACAATTTATGTAAATTATTACTGAAACGAATATACGTGATGTTTAAGTTACGTTGTAAATTATATTCAAGTCAACTGGAAGAAAAGGTTCATTGCTAAACAAGAAAAAATAAAAACATTCTCTATGTACTTCTACGATAAAAGAAATTAGAAAGAATTGTTAGACGAGATTTTAAAAAGATGTTAGAAAGATAAAGTAAAAGAAGCAGAATAAAACCTTCTAGTGCTCTTATTGATTTTTATGTGTACGCTTACAAGAAAACGTAGGCATGGCCTTACGATGTTACACATACCTTCTTGTGAAAGAAAAATATGAAAAGAATTGACATTGTGTTTGTAGACTGCCAACTGCACATACGTATCTTGACCATTCAACGCAATAAATATATTTAAGGATTATTATTTTTAATTGTGATACACTGAAGATAATATTAATAGGTTTAATCAATGCAAATGTCACGAATATTAATAAGTTTAATTTTAAGACGGAAATAAATGTTTATAATTAAAAAAAAAAAAAAAAAACATCTTTTAAAGTATTGTGTGAAAAATTGAAAATGGACATTTAAAATTTCTGAAAATATGAAATAATCTTAGATCGCGGAATTAAAGGAGTGGAATCGGAACTCAAAATTATTCAGTTTAACTAAACAAATTGAATTCATTTTATTTAATTGAAAATTAATGGTTTATTATACAATATGTCCTAAAAATATCATATTAAATTGGATAAATATATGTATATATTTTTGTAATATAAAAACGTTTTTATTATTGCATAAACAGAAGTATAAACGTAGTCTCCTTAATTGAAGAGTTTTTTGTATTTTACATCATATCCATTTTTTGTTTTGATTTCTTGTAGTCTTCTCAACCAGTTGAGAAATGGCAAATTGTTGGTTCCATTTTTTTTTTATTTTTTTATTTTTTAATTGCTTTTCATTTTATTACTCGATTTTTTCATTGATCTAACATTCATACTTTATCACTCCCAACATGACTTATATATATATATATATATATATATATATATATATATTTTTTTTTTTACTTGAAATGTATGTACAATGTATATGGCCGTAGAAACAAAATATGAACTTTTATTTCTTTATAACAGCTATTTTCCTTTTCTTTTTTTTTCTTTTTTCTTTTTTTTTACAATTTTGTATGAAGATAAATTTTTAATATTACTGTGTTCCTTCCTTCCAGTTTTTCACTAGCTGCATAATTAAGTAATAAGCAATTTAGACGCTAGTATATATATTATAAATGTATATACAAATATAGTTACGTGTTAAAACGTAATGTTGCAATAATGTGGAAGTTAAAATATCAATAGGAGTACATGGAATGCAAGTTCCTTGTAAAATACATTCGAAATTATGTATGAAAAAAAAAAAAAAAAAAAATCGTTATTAAAAATAAATTAACTTGTCTAAATCAATAAATTATGTTAGAATTTCAAATTTGTAAAAATTTGACGACTTCAAATGTGACTTTCACCTTATAACTTTGTTCAGTTCATTCCTGTGATATATATACCCATATATAACAAAACTATATTATATACACGATATTATATAGATGATAAATATTTGTAAAAAAAATGCAACTTTTCTTATTTTTGACAGACACCATAGGAAAACACACCATTTGACTCTTGATTATGTTCCACAAATTCGTAAAAAAAGTTAAAAACTAAATTTGAATGTCTTGGAACATTAATAACTCTATTAAGAGTTCAAAAATTGTTAGTCTTTTGAATGAAGAGGCACTATTAAATCACTTCATCATAGTCTTTTGAGCTGCTATATTCTTCAATTGTTGCTTGTAAATTTCAGCTTCCTCTTCTTTTTTTTGTAATTGTCTTCGATACTCGTCGGCTTCTCTTCGAGCTTCCGCCAACTTTCTATTTAATTCTGCAACGTCCATAATCGGCGTTTTGTTATTATCTTCCTCAAATATTTCAATTTTGTCGTCTAGATGTAAAAGTATAGGTTCCGTTTTTGGCGTTATTAAAGGTTTCTGCAAGCAAGTAACAATAACGAATGAAAAACATAAGTATTACAAAGGATAATTATATATAATATCTGTTTTCATCTAGAATTATTTTGCTTTCGTTTAATCTCATTTGCATACGAACTAAGCCAGTTAATTAAAATTAAAAAAATTCTGATTTAAATTAAATTTCTTTAATTTTAATTTATGTAAAATGTAGTAACCTTCATTGGGGAAATAGTTGTTTTTGTGGAGGCAAGCGTCGGGATTCCCGTTGTTGCATTTCCAATTGATGTAAGGAAAATTTTTCCTGTGCTCTTTCCATCGCTGGCTGTTCTTTTCAAGATATTTGGTCCTCGTGGTGTAATCGTTGGCTGATTTTGACCCAGAATTTGATCAGCTCTAATCGTAATAACTTTTCTTGAATTTCCTTTTCTGGCACCCATTTGCAAACGTTTGATGGGTGTTATGTTAAGTGGATTTGATCTTGTAAGATTTAATGCAAGTTTTCCCGCTTCTAATATATGAAAAGTAAAATTTTATGAATAAACATTGTAAGGACATGTACATGCAAGCATTTCATGTAAATATTGAATATATTATTAATTTCAGGTTCTACCTGTAAGAACAACGGTTTGCCCACTTTCCATAGCATTTTCGACGATAGTTGCATCGTTATCTACTGGAATCATAGTGATGCCATGAGCCTGCAGCAATCTTAACGGTTGCTCAACTCCCATTAAATTTGTAACATCTCTATGTCTTTTTCTTTCGTGGTGAACAGTTTTATCGTCTAGCCTCTGCAGTCCTTCTTTTACTTGCTCAACTTCATTGATAGGTTGAACCCTAATTTGTTGAAAGACCATTCTCTGCTTCTTATTTGCAGCTACTGTAATCATAACATAATCAATATAAAACATTATTTTACAAATCTTACTAGTACTACTTTGTAGTTATTATATAATGTTACATTGGGCAAGTCTTCGCTTTTGCTGTTGCTGTTCAAATTCAATACGTTCTTGTTCTTCTTTTTGTCTTTCTGCTTCTAATTGCATTAAATTCTGTGTAGCAGCTTCAATTTCAGCTGACTGTAATTGATTTTGATGTACATTAATTACTTCACGTTCCTGCTGGAGCATATCCACTAAATCTAGTCGATCGTGTTCCAAAGCAAGGCTGACCGGTGTTTTATTAAATTTACTATTACTGTTTGGATCTGCTCCGTGCTCAAGAAGCACTAACATAACTTCTGCGTGTTCTTTTTCAATGGACCAGTGTAAAGGTGTCATTTTAAGCTGTATAAATATAAAAATCATTTGAATATAATTATTATATAATAGTTTGAAGTATTTTTTTTTAATATATTTGTAAACATTGTATATGATTAAATTAATTTAAGTATTTAATCCGTTAAAACGAATGAAATTTCATTTGATTTGAATTTAATCATCAATGAAATCGAATAAAATTCACAATACACAGATGATAGTTTACGGTTAATAATAATAATTCTAGCTGTTAAAAGTTAACAAGTAGGCGCAAAATACAAATTGGGTGCATTAAAAAATAAGTTTATATAACCTCAAAAAATAACCGCACATATATAAACCGTTGTGCACGCATTTGAAAATGTAAAAGTTTTAATGTAAAATTAATTGAAATTGAAATAAAAACAGACCATATCTCTACTATCGACTTCTGCACCATAATTAAGTAATAACTGAGCCATTTCATGATGACCTTCATATGCAGCCATGTGTAATGGTGTTCTATCAACTTTGGTTCTTGCATCTCTGGATATTCCTGCTCTCAATAGTACTTCAGCTGTTTCCGTATGATTGTTTTGCGCAGCAAAATGTAGGGCGCTTGTCCCGAGCTAACGTCACATAATAAATTGTAGACAATCGAATTCCAACTCAAATATGATTTAATGATTTGTTATTTACCCAGTCTGTTGTGAACGGCGCGCCTCTACACATGAGATCACGGACAAGTTCTGTATCTCCATTTTTAGCGCTATGTAATAACTGTTTACCTAGCTCAACAATGGATAGAGCATCCGTTCCTCTAGTTCTTGGTGTCACATCGCAAGGTAAGATTTCCACCGGAATCAGAGTAGTGTCAAAATCGTCGATAGCACATATACCTTCCGTTTCAGCCTGCATCTTTTCCGATTCTCAATTAAGATCCGTCTCGCTAAACTCTTCATGTATCGAACTATGGAAATAGACAAAAACAATCAAGACCAAATTAAATGCTTATTTATTACTTCTAATATAAGTATTACTTTTTCTAAATTTTATGATTTTCTAAATTTACAAGTTATTTCAATGACAATGGCATTTATCAAAAGGAAAATAAGAATGAAAGGTAAGATTATACTCATAGAATAAGGTTCTAATTATTAAGACTATATTAATTAGTTATATTTGTAATTTTTCATTTTTAGATTCATCGCTTCCCACCTCGCACAGTTATAAAGAATAATTGTAAATAATTTAAATAATTGTATCATAAATTGTTATTGTAAATAAACTATCGGTCAAAAGTAAAAAATTTTAATGATACGCTTACATTGTTACAAAGCACTATTATTATGTATTGTAGCGATATCCATTTTCATTGTTTATAAAAATATAAAAATTATGGATAGAAATAGAGTAAGCGACCAATCGCAAATAAGATTATTATCGTATCGTAATTGGTAAGCTGAGAAATTAAACTTATATCGAATATATCAATTTTCTACATTATCCTTCCAATGTTGAGAAAAGTAACGGGGAGAGAGCTACATTAGCCGATCAATGTTGACAATGCATCGCTGTACAAATATTTCAATTATCCAATTATAAAAAATTACCTCAATTCTAAATTACAAAGTAAAATTATTGTCTTATATTCTGGGAAAAGGTAGCAAGGAAGAAGTGCAATGTGTTTATCCATGCCATCATCAAGAGGAATGGATAAGTATTTAAATGCTAAAATCATACAGTATCGTCTTCATTTAACGTAGTAATAAATGGATGCGTTGAAAGCAAAAAGGTCCATGGCATAGACACAAGCGGGGATAGGACTGCCGAGGAGCCCGTGGATAAGCTAAGAAAACAATAGAAGCCGCGGTTAGCCGTCGAATAACAACAAAACGAAATCGCAGCAGCCACTTATGATCCGAAAGGTACACCATTACTACTATTCATCATCATCACGATCACAATGAATAATGCCAAGGGAAATAAAAATACATCAGACCTCTTTGGTTGGACATTGTCGACAGGGCGAAGCTCGACGGCCTTGGCCCACCCAGACGATGCTGGCAAGTAGGTCGATACTCCAATAAACGCTTAATCGAATGGTAACGATTGAGCCACGAAATGTACAAACTTTTCGCCGAGCGTAACCAAAAAATCTCAATACCACTTTAATTCAACGTCGAGTCATGGAAGACGTACTGTGCAAGCAAATAAACGTAGCCTTATTCTCGAGATGAGAGAGCGGCGCGCGCGCGACAACATCAACGTAAACTTGCGAAGAATTGGCGAGGGAACTTCCTGTTCCTGTTTCGGCGCGCCGTGCAAACGGAAGTGTGCCTCGACACACGAGGTGCCGCGTTCTCGCGCACTTCGAGACTTCCTCTACCCACGTGGAGGTACTTACTCGGGGCGCATCGTCGGCGCCGACGGTCTTGACTCTTGGCACGCTCTCGACGTCCCACGGTCTCGTCTCTGCCCTGATACTGGGGACGATGCCACCGGGTGCGAGAGGAGCTCGTGGTTTCCTCCGTCCGCGGCTTGTCGTCGGGTCAGGCACCAACCACGGGACAACATGGCGGCCGTGCGCTCTCTTGGCGCCATTCTTGACTCGCGCGCCCGTGTTGCTCTCTTTGTTCCAAGCCGGACTTTCGCTTTCGCGATGACGAGCCGCTCATTCCTCGGCGCAATTATCGTCGTCCGGCATTATAAAGCCCCTGCCTCCGCTCCCCTTCGTCGCTCATCAATTCCATGAACATATATGGGAACATATGGGGATAGTCCTCGGCCCGATTATATGCGGGCGTTTCTACAATTGAACGCCCGTCGCGGGCTCCCGCAATCGACAACGACGATGACGACGATGACGACGGCAACGACAACAACGACAACGACGACGACGACGACGACGACGACGACGACGACGACGACGACGAAGTTACCATGGGAGCGTCGAGAGCATTCTGCGATTTCGCGCCTCTTTGCCCTTCTATCGACGTATCTCTTCCGCACCTCCTCGAGCGCCCATCAAAAAATCGCCACCCCCTGTTCTCTATTAATTCAAAACTTTGAATTCATCTCGCGCCCATCGCCTCACCCTGCTAGAGTGCTTTTTCACCCTCGTTATTTAAAAAACGAAAGGTTATTATCGTCTTGAGCGATTGGCGAAATGACGGGTCGCGAGAAGGAGTAAAGAAGTCGTCGTCGAGCCGATCGGCAAAATCAAGGACACTAGATGGTACATTATTATGCAATCTTGTTGGGTGTAAAGTTTGGAGGAGGTTGAATCTCATCGTTTTAAACGTCGATCGAATGTCAAAATAATAATATCCCCAGAGGCAAAGGACCTGATCGAAAGATGCTGAGAAAACGTTACATTTGTAATTAAATATCGCATCGCCGTTTAATGAATGTAAGGTAAACTTGGAAATTATATTGATTATTGGGTCGCGATGTCTTTAGCTCGTCCCACAATGGATTATACAAAAAAATATTTAAGAAAAAGTAGACGAGAGAGAGAGAGAGAGAGAGAGAGAGAGAGAGAGATAACGAGAGATAAGAAATGTTCAATAGTGCACGATTTGAAAATTGCTCGTAACGTGGATAATACATAATATGAATTATCATATATATATATATATATATATATATATATTAGTTGTAATTTAAAGTTTATCAATTAAATTCTTACGTAAAATTTCCTATGCAAAAGATTTGTTAAATTGCGATGATTTAATGTGTGCTGACAAGCAATTATCTCCTATATAAATCAGCAATAATATAATTGAATATAGATGAAATGTAGGAGAAACGGCCATGTACGTAAAATAAAACAATCGCCGTGTGGGAAGATAATATTTACTGTTCGACGACGTCTATTACATTACCAGCGTCTGTTTTATTTGTTTCGGTAAAATAAAGATCGATTAAAAAGTTTTCGAATAACGTATTATCGCTGTTGTACATTACTTTTTCATTAATCATGATAAAATTCAATTGATTTATTTATAAAGAGTTTTAAAAATAATTTCAAAGAGTTGAATGAACACATGGTCGACCAATTAATTCAAATGCACGCAATGTTATTTTATTACTTGATATGGAAGATATTTGCGATTGTTATGTAAGAATTTACAACTCTTATCGTTATTGCTAATCATGCTTATAAGTAATCGAGAGTTATCAGCGCAATATTTTCCAATATCGTGGACCAATATTGAATATCTTGACCGACTATTTGTAGTGCAAATCCGTTTTGTCCAAGGGTAAATCATAATAATAACAGGATAATAAATGCAGAATGCATAAATTCATCATTTCAATGTATATTTTATCGGATAAATATCATATGAGAGATTTAGTGATTAATAACCCATAATTTGACAAATATAATGTGATAATTAAGTGAAATTGAAAAGTTGTGATGAATGAGCTTTTTTCATCGTAGCTCTTAATTGGTAAATAATAAATTTTGTAATTTAATAATAAGTGCAAATTGTCAAGCGAAATATTTAAAGACATTGAAATATATTTTGAATTATGCTGAATGAAAAATACAAATTCTTATCCAAGGCCAGATTATCAACATTATTTTTTCTATATAAACACTCGATTTTTACAATAATTATACAATTATACAGCGTTTCCGACAAGAGATCTATATGACACTTTCTATCGATCTCTGTGTGTGCGTGTAGATTTGCAAGAAAGGTAAGAGATTATCTAGATGACAGATTTTTGATGATGATAGATTTTTCAATCATTTCCATTAATTTACACATGTTACCATCAGCTTGTGGAAAGTTGGATTGAAGTTTATAGTCATTTAGCTATGTGGTAGTGACAATGACCGATGTTAGCCATTAACATTGTTATATTGCATAAACATTGCCTAAATATCGATTATCTTCTCAGATTCGAAGGTGTGTCTTCGGCACCTCTAATTATAATTAAGTTTTTTTTTTTGTTTTTTTTTTCATATCGCTACCGACGGCTTAGAGACGTTAAAATAAAAAAAAAATTAATAAAGGTTCGTTATGATTTGCATTAACGTCAATTTAAGAATGATTTAAGCCCACTGAATACGAATTATTCAAATTTTAAATTGTCTCGGTAATTTTTTATTTGATTTATATATTAGAATTAAGTCATGAGATTGTAAGGTACCCGAAAAGGTCGTTAATATCACTATTAATAGCATGTGATTCAAAGGTGAATAAAAGCGAATGTTTTGTTTGAATTGTTTAAATACATTTTATAAATCTAAGTTGTGTATATAGTCTAGATAAAACTCCAAATTCTTTGTAATATTAGGATTTTATTTAAAATACGTGACTGTATGGGTAGTTTTACTCTAATAACTTTTTAGCGCATTGCGTAGTTGTAGGAGTCGAAAGCAGGTAGAGATTAATTGTGATTATAAACAATCATTCTTATCAGGCTTATTAGCTACACCGTACACGTAAATATCAATGCAATATTTAAATATTCGATATGACGCAGTCGAAGGCGCAAAAAAAGGATCTATCGTCGTGAATTAAATTGTCGGCGATGTATGATAATCAATAATGATATACTGGCACCGGTAATTTTTTGAAGAGAAATAGATAACAAAATCAAATAAACTTATACTACCAAAATTATTATTAAAATTATAAGAATTATAGGGCACTCTGTCTTCGTATTATGTGATAATGCGATAATGGGGCGAAGGAGTATTATAAAATATATCATTACACGCGTATTATCGTAGATTCAAATAATCCGACTGACCTTGGATGGTGTTGGTGCATACTCGTATAAAAGTACACTACTGGTCACATGAGAATTCGAGGAAATTTAAAAGGCAGGGAGAACGACTAAGGGGATCCGAGGAATAATCTAAGCGCGGAACTCTACCTCGTAGAAGTAAGTCTCTTTAACTCGGGAGATACTCTAAGCAATGTCTTCTCTCTCGGGAATTTGCCGAAAAAATGTCCACAGGTTAAAAAAAAACTTTTGCAGTCCAGAAGGCTAATAGAAGGCGAATAGTGTGAAAGTCGGCAGAATGGATCTAAAATTGCTGACGGGCTGATCGTGAAAGAGCAAGAACACTGTCTAGTTAGATCCCATGAAAGTAAGATAACTAATGAATATCAAATGGAATATAAAATGAGATGTGTATGCGGAAAAGGAGTCGAGAGAAGAACAGCTAATCTGTCGTTGTTCAGCTTTTGCACGATTGCGTGTGCGCGCGTGTACGGGAGTCCGGTGGTTCTCTCTCTCTCTCTCTCTCTCTCTCTCTCTCTCTCTCTCTCTCTTTCACGCACTCGCTAACTCACAGCACAGGCACGCATGCATGCACGCACGCACGCACGCACGCACGCACGCACGCACGCACTTCATCTCATCCAGGCTCAAAGCGATAAAGTCTAATTTGTCGAGTGGCCAGAATCATAGATGGTAAACTACGATATCGAGCTAATTAATGTAGAGGGGCTTAGACACAATGGACCTGGAGTGTCCGATGAAGCAAGCACATAGTCGAGCTGAAGCTGTTTTCCACTTCCTCCGACATTGCTACGGCATTGCTACGGCATTGCTACGGCATTGCTAAAATTAGTCAGAGATTCTCTCTTTAGAATGTCAAGTAGAAATTTCGCAATTCACGCAACATCGATGTGAATTAAATCTCTGGTGGAATTTTAGTTCTATTATTTTCAACTCGATACTTCAATAACATTAAAGCTCCGCTTTCATTATCGAATAATTTATACAGAGCTTACGTATAAAGTTATGAATTAGTCAGATTAACTTTTGATATTTCTACTGTTTATAATGTTACATTAAAAATGTATGAAGCTGCAATTAATAATGCCTTGCTAAATTAACTTTCCAATAAAAGTTTGCACAAAGCTTACACAAAGCCTTCGTTCATTAATAATATTTGTATTATCAATCATTATCATGGAATTTTGCAAAGTTTCTATAATTATCGTTTTAACGGATTGATAATGCGCGTTACTCGTTTATATCGTCACATCGATGGATTTATGAAACAAATTAATAAATAATGCACTATTTAGAGTGGTGATTTAAAAAATATATTTATTTGCGAAAATACAATGCATTTGGAGATTATAGGGTAAATAAAGAGTGAAAATTAATACGCTGCCTTAATTTTATTCAATCGTCATAATTACAACAAGATGCTGTGTTCCGAAGGGTCAACAATATTCTTAAACATTTTGTGTATCGCTTTCATTCCAATACTTCAAACAATAAGTTTAT